CAATATGGGCCAACATTTCTAAAGAATGCTTTCAGCACCTTGTTGAATCAATGCCACGTAGAATTAAGGCAGTTCTAAAGGCGAAAGGGGGTCAAACACCGTATTAGTATGGTGTTCCTAATAATCCTTTAGGTGAGTGTAATTGTCTATTAATGATTTACAAAGTATTACAACCTAATTAATAACCTCATCACAAACCATTCATAATAAGGGTAGTCTTATTATAAAGTGGTATCCAAACAAATATATGTCATTTTATATTAAAAAGTGTGCTAAACAGAGGTGGATAGTTCAGGTCCAGAAAGTAAAAATCCAAAAGATTTTGTTTCAACCAACCAGTTGAGTATAAAGAGTCACTGTCACAGAGTACTCAGCTGGGTGGTTGAAATAAAATCTTAGAATTTGATATATTAGAATTAGGTGATCAGTGATGACACACCACAGCTCAACAACAAAATGTGTCCTCTGCATACAGTATGTGACATAGCAGGGGACAGCTAATTCAGCAGTACCTTGCTCAGGGTACCTCAGTGGTGTCTGCACCTGAACTATCCACATCTGGTGCTAAATTAATATAATGTAGAAATGGAAGGTCCAGAGGATGCCAAAAGCTCATTCCAACTGCATCCTCACAGCCTTCGCTTCATTTTCAGCACGTGCCGTCTCTGAAAGGCAGGCGACATCATCAGGGATTCTTGGCACCCTGCACAGCCACTTCTCTCCCTCTTCATTTCTGGCAGGAGACACAAAAACATCGGTATTCAAACCAGAAGGTTCAATAACCATTTTGACCCTTGAGCCATAAGCCGATTCAATAGCTGCCAAGCATAAAACATAAGAGCTCTCTAAATTACTTGCTCACCCTATAATCACCACCCATTTGCTATCTGTTTTTGTCATGCATCTTTCTGTGTTGTTTATTGCTTTGTCTTATGCATTGTGTACATTGCTGTTCTTATTGTTATGGTCTGATGCTGTTGCTCTTATTCTTTAAAGATCTCTTAGTTTACAGGAGGCCTATAAGATTCTCATTGTACTCTCAGTGTTTTTCTCAAGCACACATCACAATATGGACAG